GTGGTTGAGTCTGAGCACCAGGTGCACTGTCTCTGGGGCCTCCCGGGAGGTGCAAAGTCAGCCTCTGCCAGTGCCTTGCCCAGCGCCACCCAGCATGAGCTACACAGCAAACCGTAGCTGGCTGCTACTTGTGCTGGGCTTGGAGGTGTCCAGGAGAGGCCAAGCTATGATCCAATGCAGGCTGCCGCTAGTGCCAGGCCTGGGGCCACTTATCAAGCTGTATGGGGCCCACTGCTGCTTGTTTGAGAGATTTTAGGAAAGTCCTAAGCATGAGGCTTGAGAGGCCACTTGCACAGAAAAGCCACTGGAAACGGCTTGGATGAGCCTGCAGGTGGGAAGGGGCGGGGCCTTCGGGAAAAACGGGGCGTGGCCAAAGGTGTGCGTCAGGTGCTGGAAATTCCAATATGGCGCCTGCCTACCAGCTGTGTGCGGGGAGGACTCGCCAAAGGAGCCATGGCCTCTGCCAGCCCTTCTGCCTGGGAGGAAGCCGCCCCTCCACCTCTCTCCCGGTTTTCAGGCAGGTTAGTTCCTCCCCGAGTGTCCCAGGTCCTTTCCGGCTGCTGCCCGGCGCTGGGCTCAGAGGGAGCGCGTCCGAGTGAGTCCGTGCGCGGGCCCTTTAGAGGAGCTGCTGGGGCTCCCGCGGCCTCCGCGACCCTCAGCCACAGTCCCCGCCGGTTTCACATGTCATGATTGCTCAGGGAAGTGCGTATCTTTTCTTCACTTTAAAAGTTTACCGAGTCGCCCTGGCTGGTGTGGCTCAGGGGTTAGGGCGTCGACCCTCACACAGAAGGGTCACGGGTGGGTTCAATTCCTGATAAAGGGCACCTACCTGGGTTGCGGGTTCTATCCTGACCCGGTCCAGGTGCATGAGGGGGGCAACCAATTGGTGTCTCTCTCACATCGGTGTTTCTCGCGCTCTCTCCCCACCTCTCACCTTCCCTTCCACTCTGTCTAAAAAATCAATGGAAGAAATATCCTCAGGTGAGGATTAACCAAAAAAATAAAAAAATAGTACACTAAGCAATTCATTTGTCTTGAAAACAAGACATTGGAAAAGAGAAGAGAGCATGCCCCTAGGTAAAGTGAGGCCCAGAGCCCTTCCGATCCCCTGAGGATATCCTGGGGTGGGCAAGACCTTCAGTAGAGATGGGCTCCTGCTCAGGCTCCAGGAACAGGGAAAGAAGTGGACTTTAGGAACCTCAGGTCTTCTTTCCCTTTGTTCCTTTGCTTTTTCCTAGTTCAGAGGAAAGGGTGGGTCTCACATGAGAAGCCCAGGTCTTCCTGGTCCTCCGGGGCGTTCTGTCCTGGGTGCTCTGACAAGAGTACAAATACAAGGACTTTCTAAGCAGCCCTCCAAACAGTAGAACTGGCTACCTGGTAAGGAAATGAGCATCCCATCACTGGGGGCAACCAAACATCTGTCAGGTATTATACCAGAAGGAAGGTTGAAATGCACAGGAGGCCTGGTTTTAAGTGTTTTCCCATCTGAAAATGAGCTTCCCCAGCCCCTCCCTGTTTCTGTGGGACTTTGGCCCCTCCAGTGTGGCCTGCCCACCTTATAGGGACACTGTGCCCCAGGCGTGTGTGGGCTGGGCACTTGGAGAGGGACCTGTTCTTCAGGTGACCCATTGGTATGGAGAGCAGTGGGAGAGAGTGGGCAGGAGGAGAGAGTAGACAGACCGTTCTTGGCCAGGGAGAGCTCTTAGCTTGGCCCTTCTGGGTATAAATTGCAATTACAGGGATAGTTAATGACCATACTCTTGTCCGATTAAGCAATTGTGAGTTCTTGGCTAGTGCTAATGTTTTCCCTTTGGGTTTCTGCCCCAGGGTGTCTTTGCTTTTTTTTTTTTAAGGTTTGATTAATAGCAGCAAAAAATAAAAGCCTGCTGGGTGAGGCTTTGCTACATACTTTTTTCCCATTTGATGGATGTCTGAATGGGTTGAGGAGGGAGCAGGGAGGGGGAGCAGGGGTTGTGGGAGGGCCTATGGGAAGAGATCAGCTCTCTGGAGAGACTGGGATGGGCCTGGGTTCAGGGCTCGCCTGTCAGTTGTGTGAGGCGCTGGCCCACCTGATCACCTCACCATCTTGCACTGTCCACTGTTGCAAGCAAAGGCAAGCCCATAGGGCTCACTCCTAGCGGCCGGATGAGGGCTGAACTGTGGTCTGCCAGACCCCATGTGTCAGTCCCCAAGAGCCAGAGCCACTGGATCCCTGGATAGCACTGGGAAGTGATGAGAGTCCCCATGGGGCACGTCTTTGGGTGGTCTGTGAGCTTTTGCCATTTCCATCTAAGCAACAGAGATAACATGTCCCGATGGAACACAGCACCCTCTCTGGGCATCAGTTTCAGTGAGGTGAGGAGTTGCGTTAGTTGATATCAGTACCACCCCTTGTTAAGTACCAGACCCTGTGGCTGGCCCCATCTTTCATCCTAACCCAAACACAGCAGGAAAGGGGGAATTATCTCCATTTTACAGATGAGGACACTGAGGCTCAGGGAGGTATGAGCTGCTCAAGAGCATGTTGAATAAGTGGTGGAGCTGGGATTTGAACCTAGTCATCTCATGCGAGACACTGCCATACTATACTACCCCTGTCCCCAGGCCAGCATTTTCAGGGTGTTCTATTTCCCTCAGCGTCTGGATCTGTTGGGCACTTGTTAAAAAAGCTGATTCCTGCCTGGCCAGTGTAGCTCAGTGGTTGAGCATCGACCTGTAAGCCAGGAGATCATGGTTTGATTCCCAGTCAGGGCACATGCCTGGGTTGCGGGCTCGATCCCCAGTCGGGGGTGTGCAGGAGGCAGCCGATCAATGACTCTTATCATTGATGTTTCTATCTCTCTTTTCCTCTCCCTTCCTGTCTTTCTGAAATCAATTAAAAATATATATATATTTTTAAATAAAGAAGCTGATTCCTGCTTCTGCCCCAGAGCCCTGCACCCTTTCTGTGGCCCAGACACCCCGACTCCTGGGATCTTTCCAGCAACACCCAGCTTCATGGCCCCTAGCTAATGGCTCTGCCCTCTCAGCCCTCTGGGCTCTACACCTGTATCGCTTGACTTCCTCCGCTGTCCACTGATCCCACCATCTCAGCTGCACACCTCCCATGTCAAACTTCCCTTTTCCTTTCCATGACCACTTTCTTGGTTGAGAGCAGAGGTTTTCAACTTTGGCTATTGATATTTTGGGCCAGATAATCTTTGTTTTGAGTGTGGTGTGGGGAGGGGCCGCTGTCCCATGCCCCATAGGATGTTTAGCAGCATCCCTGGCCCTACCCGTTAGATGCCACTAGCACTTCCCCCCTCAGTGTGACCATCAAAACTGTCTCCAGACGTTGCCCAATGTCCCCTAAGAGGTTGAGAAGCACTGGTTTAGAGCCTTGTGTAGGCCTGGCCTGACCTAACATTCAGCCGATGAGTGCACCCTCGTCACCTCTCCCTGGCCTCTGGCCAGTCGGCCTCCCTGTCCCCTGCCAGGCCTGCCGACTTACCATTTCCCACACGGTCCTTTTGCTTGGCACCCATGCTGACACTGTTGTCACCACAGGAGCGCCCACCCCAGTTTCTTCTCTGGAGATCCATCCTTCAGAGCCCAGGTCCAGTGTGTGGGCTGCTTTGTGCACAACTCCAGGGGTGCCATTGACTTCATGGTCTAAGAAGGATGCTCTCAGGGGCTGTCCAGGGACAACCCCAACACGGGACCCGGCAGCCTCTTCCAGTGCCCCTTTCATGAAACTCTGTCTCCCTCAGCTGGGGGGGAGTCCCTTCCTGCTGTGAATATCAATGTGTTCTTTCTACAAACAGCTGCCATATTCATAAACCTGTGACAGTCAGGCCAAGATTGGTCACAGAATTCAGGGTGTACCATAGACCTCTGGGAGGGACAGCCCCAGTTTCTGCCAGGCTGATGTCGGGTTCTTATGTCTCAAGGGGTAGCCAGATAAAGTGGCAGCAATGACCCTGGGCAGTTGACCAAATCTGCCTAGAGCTCAGTTTTCAGGGGTTAAGAATAGAATTTAGGTTGAGGGGAAGGTGGAATGTGCCAGTGACATAGTGCCAGGCATATTGTAAGTGCTCAATAAATGTTTGCTTTTAAAGAAGAGAGAAGTTTCAAGATGGGCCAGGGTCCTGGGGCAAGTCAGTGCAATTGAGGAGGTGGAAATTGTTTTGAGCGCAAGAGCAGTGTTTTAGCAGAGGACTGCAGTGTCAGGTGAGGAATGGTGGCGAGCCCAGTGACGCTGGGAACAAGTGCCCCGAGGTAAAGAGAAACAAAGGCCTCACCTGGGGAAGACAGCTGGAGGGGAGCTGGGGAGGTTCTAGCTCTGGGTTTTGGAAATGACAGGTGGGTAGAAATGGCGTGTAACCAGGTGGCGTGTAATTCAGGGTGTACCACAGACCAGGTGGTCTTCAGTGTCCCAGCCCCTGATTCCTGTGATTCTGATTCCTGGCCACCAAGGGGCAGCCTCTGCCAGAGCCTCCCTTTGTGCTCTGCTGGAAGCTGGTGCTTTCTACCCATTTGGCAGATGCTCCGGTACCATGGGCCTCTGCCCTCCAGGGCCCACGCCTCACACTATAGTGGTCACTCCTGCACATTTAGTTTCTCTTTCTCTCCACCTGACCCTGATATCTGAGTGTGAATTTAATTTTCCTAGAGGGAATTGCATTTGAGTCTAGTCATCTTGTTAGGAGGCCGTCTCCTGTCATCAAGCTGGGAAATTGTCCTTTTGCCTTTCCAGTGTGCTAGTGGAGGTGGCTGATTTATTAGGACTTCTGCCTGCTAATTTCAGCTTCAGTTCAGTTCAGTCCCTTATTGAACTCCTCGAACTTTCCAGTCTTTGCTGGCCAGGGACAGCTACAAATGAGACATGATCTCTAGTCACAGGTTATAAACATAATGACAGTATGAAGGGATGATGCTGTAAGAGAGATATTTATTTATCAAGTACTGTGAGTGCCCTAACAGGAATTTGTTGATTCTGTCTCTGGGAAAAAAATCAGTAGGGCTTCAGAGAGGAATCAACATTTGGAAAGGGTTTTGAAGGATGAGTAGGGGCCGGCTGTGCAAAGAAGCGGATGTCCATTTCGTGTTGAGATCATTGGATAGTTAGTTTATGTGGGGGATCTTGTTAAAATGCAAATTCTGATTCAGAAAGTCTGGGTGGGGTTTGCATTTGTAACAAGCGTCTGGGTGACGTCTATGCAGTGCCCATGCAGCTAGCCCATTGACTACACATTGAATAGTAAGTCTTTAATATCTTATCTCTTTTACCGAAATGTGCAGTTAGCCTTTACACCTGTGGCCCAGTTGACTGCAGGGCCCTGTTGTCCCCACAGGGTAGAGGAGGGCTGATTGTTTGCAAAAAGGCCCCAGTTTTCAGAATGTGGTTGTTCCTTAGGTTCAGTCCAGAGAGCCCAGCATGTCCCCTAGGTTTGAGCAGTGATGTAATAGAAGCCCTTGTAACACTCTGAGGCCCCCAAATTTGGCCGTTAATCCTGACCTTATGATACATAGATGGCCACACACTTGTGATTTTTTAGAACAATTCCAATGTTGTCAAACTGTGGGCTTTTCAAAGAAGGCACTCTAATATATATTGGTATTCAGTCTTTATATACGTGTACATTAAAGAAAAAAAAAGGTCTTCCTTAGACCATGACTCCCAAATTCTACACGGCACCTATAGAAATAAGGGACTTAGACCTGACTGGTTCAGGGTAGGTGCGGAGGCCTTGGAACTAGTGATTGGTTTCTGGAGTATGAAAGTTGATGAACTTGATTTGATTCAGATGAGAGATGTCAGATGAGCCATGTGTCTGAATTGTATGTGAAATGCCTCAGGAGCAACATGGCCCAGAGAGGCCTTGGGCAGCTGCGTGTCAGCTGTTCTGGGCTAATTTGGGCCTTCAGTGACAGGAGAAGTGCTGGGAAATTTGAGTGGAGGGAGTGCCGGGATATCCTAACGGGAGTTCTTGGGGCTTGAGTAAAACCAGGCTGGTAGGCGGATTGAAGGCTTGAGCATAGCGTCCTGGAGTGGCCCTCAGCCGCCCACCCCTCCGTGAATCACTGGCCTGAGTGGAAATACAGCGTGGTTTCTGTCCCCTGGGGTATAAAGCTGCCTGGCATGGGATGTCTGCTTTTGGTGCCTGGCCACTTCTGCTCACCTTCCCAGTTTGGAGCCCCACCTTGAAGATCACCTGTGGTCCCCAGTCTTGGGCCAACCAGTCCCTTCCCCAAATGCTGCAACTCCGTGTTTATTTAATAGAGTGTCTGCCTGTTTATTTAATAGAGTGTCTGCCTTGTACTTCTCTTTTTCCCACCGGTGTTTGTAAATCCCTTGAGGGCAGGTCCCGAGGGCTGGCTCAGTGGCTGGCACCCAGTAGAGTAGCATGAAAGGATGCATGGATGTCTCATAATCTCCCCCCGTTCCCCTCTTTCTCCCACCTTGAGTTTAGGCAGGTGTCAGGGCCAATCCCTGGACCAGTGCCTCCCACTTGCCCTCCCTTCTAGGCAGGAACCACAGAGAGAGCAGTGCGCAGGCACTCAGGGCTGGTCCTGGGGGAAAGGTGTTATTTTTATAGGGGGTCCTTTGGAGAGTTGCTGCCACCTGTCCTTTTGGGTTTCTTAGGTCACTGGCAGAGTAAGATTTTCCAAAATGGACTATCTAAAGTTCTTTTGGTGTCACATAACCCAATCCCAGGGCTCTGAGTTTTTATTTTGTTTTTTTAATTTTTGAAGTCATGGAAAAAAGGGCAAAGGACAGTTTCTTTAATCAGCTGGGATCAGGAGTCCCCAGACCTTGGGCTTTAAAAAATTATGCAGTTAATCATGTCTCATATCCAATAATAACAATAATAATAATGCTAATTATTTGAATAAACACTTTGCCATTCACAAAGCCCTTTTACACTATTTTCCCCCCGGTTTTCCTTGTGAATGTCCTGTGTCCTCTGTCCCACCTTGGACTGCCTCAGATACTAAGACACAGTCCAGCCTGGGGAGCAGCCTCCCCCATTGTTTCACATGTATTGGCACTAATTCTGTTAATGATAAGAAAAGTAACATTTACTGAGCATGTGTACAGCATCGTAGTAATAATGACAATAGCTAAGGTTTATTAAATGTTTACTGGTGTTGTGTGCCAAGAATCATGGTGAGCACTTGGAATCCTGTCTGATTAAACTTGGCAGTGATTCTGTAAAGAATTTCTTATTCCCGTTTCACAGATGGAGAAACTGAGGTTAAGGGAGGTTAGGTAATTTGTCCAAGAACACACAGTTGCAAAGTGGCAGAGCCAGGACTTGTGCCAGGCCTGGGTAACTTGAAAGCAAAGTTCTGCTCCTGGCAATTTGGGGAGATGTGGGCCGAGCTTGCTCTGAGGGTCTGCCCCTCTCCTTTCTGAGCCTTTTTTTCTACTTTTTTTAAACATTTGCCCCTATCTGTGGGCCTCAAGGATTGGCTAACTTTTTATATAAAAGGCCAAACAGTAAGTATTTTAGGCTGGAGGGTGGGTATAAGGTCTCTAACAGCTACTTACCTTGCCCTTGTAGTGCGAAGCTGCCACAGACAATATGTGAATGAATGGGGGTAATTTTTGGTACAAAAATGAGCTGCAGGCAGGGTTTGACCCTTGGGCTGTAGTTTGCTGGCCCCTGGTCTAGACCCAGAGACACTTCTGCCAGGAAGGATAGTGATCTGATAAGAGGCAATGTGTTTCCCCTCCCAGGTACATTTGGATTTTATAAGACCATCCTTGGGGAGTGGGCAGTGCTTGGTTTCTGAGGGATTCTACATCTGTTGCTGGAACAGGGAAGTTGCTTTCTGATTCTGTCCCTCAAATCACACCATGAGGGTTATTGCCTGCCCAGTCTGTGTCTTTGCTTTGGGGCTGAGAGGATTTGCTACCTGGCACCAACCTGACGTGTGAATGCTAACCTAGTTTTAAGAGGAGTCGGACTTCATTATGTGCAGGTAGGAACATAGGGTGACTTGCTGTGCATCCTTGTGGAAGTCACTTCCCTTCTCTGAGCTTCACTTTCTTTATCTAGGCTGCTTTGAAAACCTCCCTCTTCTCTGTGAGCTTGACAGTAGTTCAGTGGACTCATTGCTGCATTGTCATGCACTCCCTGGAAGCATCATTGTGAAATGCAAGGACAGGATTTTCCATGCTTTGTTCTGTTCCTCTGCAGTCTGATGAAAGGGCAAAGTTGTGGCCTAAACAAGATACAGTAAGCGCAGAGAGCAGATGAGGTGCAGCCGTTCGTCTGCTGGAAACCATCCGTGGCTCCCCACTGCCTGTGGATTAAAGTTCAGGCTCAGCCTGATTCAGCCCTCCTCAGCCTGGCTCTTTCCGGGCTCCTCCCCTGAAGTTTCCCTTCCCCAGCTCCGGCAGCCCCTGAATGCTCTCCGAAGGTCTCTCTTACCTGTTAAAAGCTCCTGCTGCTTTTTCCCTTTGAAATGTCCTCCATAGTCCCTGTTTTTTTAATTCCCAAATAGCTCTCCTTCCTGCTGACGGCTTGAAATTCCACCAGTGGGGACTCATGTCTTGGGATTAGCATATCTGTCAAATAAAATAAGTGCACATGTGTCCTTAATATTGGCAACTTGGCGTGAGCAGGTTCAGTTTAGGGAGGATCATCGGGCCCCCAGGGGCAAGGCCAGGCAAGTAATTTGTGTCTGTGGCCACCAGGTGGGAGCAGAGGTGCTGGCCGGGGCCGCAGCCCCTCTCACCAGGCTGGGCAGCCACTGTGGAATTCATGAACTGCTTGCTTTTTTGTTGTTGTTTATGTAAGTTTAAAAAAAATATATGGTAAGTAAATTACAAAGATCCAAATGTAAAGAGTGAGGTAAGTAGCTTAAACGAACGACTAAGATTATACCCTTAACTACCCACCTGGGTGAGCCGGTGCCTTTCTGCCCAGCCTGGGCTTTGTTCTTCACCGTTTAGAGTCTCATTCACTTGCACCCTTCCCCTGGCGCCTGACAGCCTACTTTCCAATGCCTTTTAAAATTTTGACTTTTATGTGTTGATTTTGCCTCTTTCATTTTATATATTTAATTATGATGTCGAAGACTTCCTATTCTTAGTCTCTGTGATATTTCACCACAATTTCTAAACCTAAATTCATCTTCTTGCCCGTTCAAATCCGAGCAAATATATTTTTTCATTCTCTTTTATAGAAAGTGAAGAATTCAGTGTCACTGGCTTTTGCCCTCATTCACTCTTTCTCCCTCTCTCTCTTTTTAAAATTATTTTAGTCTAAGGATTAGATTTCCCTCTTTTGCTTTCTAAACTTTCTCTTTTGCAACATTTATTTATTTTGGTCAGCTGTAACTTGTTTTGGTTCCAGGTGCACCAAATAGTCAGACCAGTGGTTCTTAAATTTGGGTGTGCATCAAACTCCCCTGGAGGGCTGTTTACAACAAACTCAACCAGGGGTCTGACTCCATAGGTTTAGGGTGGGGCCTGAGAACCTGCTTTTCTAACAAGTTCCCAGGTGATCTGGGGACTCCACTTTGAGAACCGCTGAATTTGTCTCACAAACAGCCACTCTCCTCCCTTTGGTGCTGGGACACTTTGCAGACCAACAACTCTGCTCTGCGTTGATGGTGGTGCCAACGTGAGACACTTCCAAACCTGTAGAGAATGTTTATGAGTTTATTTAAGAGTCAAGCTGACTGCAGTTGCTTGGAAGCAAAATCTCAACAGATTGAAAAAATGCTCCAGAAAATGGCAGTTTTGCACCTTATTTTGAACATTAGAATCAAAGGAGGTGGTGGCGTGAGGGGGCAGTGGTTGCATGAAATCCAATGGTGGTAGATTAAGGGAGTGAGAGAAGATAAAGCAGGGAGATCTCTGAGACCGGATTAAAAGCAAAATAGAGAGACACATACTTCTTTTACACTGGTGGGTACAGGATAGTAAGATTTACAACACACAGAGGTGGTATTTAGGGCACAAGAGGACGATGAGGGGTTCCGTGGTCCCTGGTCGGTGGGCGTGCCCGGAGGGGTCTGGAAAAGAGCATCACTCATACTTCAAAGGTGTGTTGTCTTAGATACAGAAAGACAATGCCCAGGCTCACTGGAGGTCAAGATGAACCTTTGTCAAGGACGCTACAGGCCTAGGATGTGACTACCCGCCACGACCGGCTTTTAGTTCGGCATTGCTGTGATTGGACCATCCTGTGTGGTTCCTTTCTGTCCCTGAGTTTGTAAGGCCCACCATGCAGGCCGCCCCCGAGCTTGTTAGGTTTAGTATGTGGCCCCTTTTCGTCCACAGAGGCATCTAGATCTCTCAAGTCCAGTGTCCCCATGAAAAATCCTGTCCCGGATTTAGCGTTTGAATTCTAGAGTTACTTTTTGAAAACTTTTTACAGAAAAGACCGAAGACTAGTGGGTTTTCAGTTGCTGCGCTTCTGAGGATGTGGTTGTGAACAGGATCCTTGGGAATACTGTCCTTGAGTTTCTGGAGGTGTTACCTTTCCTCCTCTGTTGGTGGGAGATGTCTGAACTTTGTCCGATTTAAGTCCATTGAAAGAAGCCTGAATTTTTCCCCCTTCTACTTAGAAGTACTTAGGGTTAGGAATTTTTATTCCCTTTGAAGCTTAAATTTGTGACAGGCAATGTCTTGAAGTTGATTGCTGATCATTAATTTTGCCTGAAACTCAATAAATTCTCAGTATAATGGCTTGTACATAAGTGTCTCAGATAGTTTTAGTGTCACTTTTTTTTTTTTTTGGTAAATGTCTGTTGTTATGTCAAAGCAGTGCTCTTAGGGGCATCTTCCCAGAGAGCATCCACTTTCTGGCCCCCACGCCTTTGCCTGTGCCATTCCTTCCTCCCTTCTCTGCCTGGAACATTCATGAGCATCCGTCAGGTGTCAGCTCCAATCTGGTTTCTGTGGGGCCGGCTGTGATTTGCTGTTAGAGAGTTGCACCCTTCCTTGGTCTGCCCATTTAGAGATTAGGAAACAGAAATGTGGGGGGAGTTAAAGTCATTTGTCCCTGATGGGGCTAGAATACAAATAAGGTCTGGCAGCTTCCAGACTCTGTGCTCTCGGACCCTGAACAGTAGGCACTCACTCTTACTGGGTGAGTGGTGACTGAGGAGGACAGCTCCTGCTGGTGGAAGCACGCAGTGCGGAAGTGTTTGATGAGAGAAAGGACCAGGAGCCTTCCAGGGCTGCTGAACCTGGGAGGGCTTGGGGGGCAGGCTGAGTGCACAACCACAGCAAGGATGTGGAAGGCAGATTTTGTCTCTTTAGTACTCCGTTTGTGGCCCAGCTCCTGGTACCAGAAAAAGGCTGCTCTCAGGAAACAGTGGTTAACGCTCCAGTCCTTATGCCCTGCTCTCCTTTCTCCCTGCACCCCCACCCCCTGCAGCTTCGGCTTTCATCATCGCCATGCTCCTGGCCAGCCTCAACAGCTGCTGCAACCCCTGGATCTACATGCTCTTCACGGGCCACCTCTTCCACGAGCTCGTGCAGCGCTTCCTCTGCTGCTCCAGCTACCTAAGGGGCTCCCGGCCGGGAGAGACGAGCGTAAGCAAAAAGAGCAACTCATCCACCTTTGTCCTGAGCCAGCACAGCTCCAGCCAGAGGAGCTCCTCGCAGCTGTCCTCCATGTGACCAGCCTGGGCTGGACTGCCTCCTTCCATCGGGCTGTGTGATGTGGACAGTCCGCCCCTTGGTGGCCGTGTACGTATGTGTATAGGTGCCTCTCAGTTTGTACACCTCCACAGCTTGGGCAGCTTGCGTGGGGTAGGGGGTCTGACACGGGACGGGGAAGTGGTGTGTGGAGAACAGGACAGGTGACTCAGCCACCACACTGTTCTTGGGCCTCCCCTGAGCTCCCACAGGTACACCTGCTACCCTGACCCCACTGCTGCCCTGGCTGCTGGGTGGGTTGTTTATGTTTCTTGGACCTTGTCATTTCACTCTGATACCTTTTTCTCCTTTATTCTGTGATCTTGTGAAAAGTAGCAAGTATAGGATTGGTGACCAATTTATCTGGAAGCCTAGTGTCCTGAGCTTGGAGTAAGGAGTGGGAATGGGACCTCAGATGGGGAGGTGGTGCTCTTTCCTCCTGCCCCCAGAGCGTGCTTGCCTTCGAGTGGGTTGATCTAGCATCGCTGGGTACCAGCTTGTCAGAGGGTGGCCCTAGGGACAGGAGATTCCCTTATGAGACGATTTGGCATAAGCAGCCGATTAAAACTTGGGTTAAAAGTGTTCAACAAGCTAACATTTATGTAGCAAGTGAGAAAGAGAAGTAAAGGCATCCAAGTTGGAAAAAAAGTAAAACTCTTTGTAGATAACATGATTTTATATATAGAAAATTCTAAGGAATTCATACACATACACACACCCATTAAAGCTGATTAATGAGTTCAGCAAAATTTCAGAGTACAAGGTCATTATACAAAAATAAATTGTATTTCTTTTTTTTCATTTTGGCTGGGTACAGTGAATTTTAACAGTGCATGACAAGGTGGGGTTCCCTAAGCCACTTTCCCTTCTTCAGGGTGTCTGGGATGGAAACTGTGGAGGTCAGGAGATTCTCAGTGTATTGAGGGATTGACTTGGGGCAAGGAGTCCCCAGTAGCTGAGGGCTTTTCTTCCCCTTGCAGGGACTGGTGGCCCAGGGGGCTCTTACTCCTTGGAGGCCATGTGGACCATAAGGTCCACCACGCTGTTGCTGTAGCTAAATTCATTGTCTTACCAGGAAACAAACTTGACAAAGTGGTCATTGAGGGCAGTGCCAGCCCCAGCATTGAAGGTAGAGTGGGTGCCACCTTTAAAGCCTTAGGAGGTAACCTGGTCCTCAGTATAGCCCAGGATGCCCTGAGGGGGCCCTCTGATGCCTGCTTCACTACCTTCTGGGTGTCATCGTATTTCTTTATGCTAGCAATGAACAATATGCAATTAAAATTAAGAAATAATTTAATTTATAATAGTATTGGAAAGAATTTAAAATAGAAGTAATTTTAATGAAAGAAGTATAAGACTTATACCCTGCAAACTACAAAATATTATTGAGAGTAATTGAAGAAGACTTGAATAAATCAAGAGACATCCTGTGTTCATGGGTCAGAGGCTTAAATATTGTTAAGGTAACAATACTATCCAAATTGGTGTATAGATTTCATGCAGTTCCTCTCAAAATCCTACCTGGCTTCTTTGCACAAATTGATAAGCTGATCCTACAATTCATAGGAAAATGCCAGGGATCCCAAATAGCCAAATAAACCTTGAAAGAGAAGAGCAAAGTTGGATCCACACTTCCTGCTTTCAAAACTTACTAGGAAGCCACAGTAATCAGGACCATCTGGAACTGGCGTAAGGACAGGTATACTGACCAATGGAATAGAATAGAGAGTACAGATATAAATACTTACATTTATGGCCAGTTGACTTTTGGCGAGTGTGACAAGAGAATTTAATAGGAAAGATAGTCTTTTCAACAAATGGTGCTGGGACAACTGGCTATCTAAGTGCAAGTGTATGAAGTTGGACCCCTACCTCACACTCTATATAAAAATTAACTCGAAATGCATCAAAGACCTAAACAAGAGCTAAAACTACAAAACTCTTAGAAGAAATCATAGGCGTCAGTCTTTGCGACCTTGGATCAGGCAATGGTTTCTTAGATACGACACCCAACGTGCAAAGAAAGGAACATTAGATAAAGTGGACCTCATAAAAACGAGGCACAAAATGTTTATGCTTCAAAGGACACTATCAAGAAAGTGAAAAGGCAGCTCACAGAATGAAAGAAAATATTTGCAAATCTTATACTTGTATCCAGAGTGTATCAAGAACCCTTACAGCTTAACGGGAAAAAGACAAGCCAATTTTAAAAATGGACAAAATATGTATTTGAATTAACAAATGAATAGACATATTTTTTTGAATAGACATATTTTTTATATCTTCTCCAAAGAAGATAAGATAACCGGCCAGTAGGCACCTGAAAAGATGCTCAGTATTATTACTCACTAGGAAAATGCAAATAAAAACCACAGTGAAATTCCTCTTCACACCCACTAAGATGGCTATAATCAAAGAGATGGGCAATAGCAGGTGTTGGCAGGGATGTAAAGAGATTGGAATGCTTGGACGTTGCTGTGGTAAGAATGTAAAATAGTGCAGCCACTTTGGAAAGTAATTTGGCAAATCCTCAAAAAGTTAAAACACCAGAAATGCCACTCCTAGGTATTTAGTCACGAGAAATTGAAACATACACACAAAAACTTGTACATAAATGTTCATAGCACCATAATTTATGATAGCCAAATAAAGAAAATAACCCAAATATCTATCACCCAATGAATGGATAGCTATAATGGCATCTAATTCAGAATAAAAAGAAATGAAGTACTGATACACACTACAATATGGATGAACCTTGAAAACATTATGCTAAGTGTCAAAAGCCATTGCAAAAAGCCACATACTATATGATTCCATGTATATGAAATACCCAGAAGAGGCAAACATATAGAAACATCGATTATGAAATAGTGGTGGCCAGGAGCTGGAGGCTGCGGTGAGTGGGGAACGACTGCTAATAGATACAAGGTTTCGTTTTTGGGTAATGAAAATATTCTGGGATTAGTGGTGATGGTGCACAATTTTGAGAATATTCTAAGAAACACTGAACTGAACACTTTAAAAGGTAAAAAAGTAAACAAAATTTTTTTTTTTACCAGCTCAGTTCAGCTTGAAGAATGAATTCCTTGGAATCTCTTACCTCCCAGCACTTCTGTTTCTTTACTTGACTCACCATTTCGAGGAATCCCAAGGTTTTCTTACTTAGTTTTCCTGTGAGAGATGGTGTTTCCAGTTTGGCCAAAAGGACCAGCAGAGATGAGATACCCACCCTCTCTAGTAGAGGCACAGGGATGTCTTGTGGCTGCCAGTGCTGTGTTTTATTTAGAAGGACAATTCACCGAGGGTCTCAAAGGCTTTACTTAGCTGGTAAACATGTTCTCAAATGTCCTCTAAGCCTTGAGGTAGAACTTGACTGTGTCCAAAAAATACCTTCAAGTTGTTAAATACGTTATAGGGCAGAGGTTTTCTGACTGAGACTGGCCAGCTCAATGGCACTCGGGGGCACTTTAAATGTTTTTTCATTTCCATACTTATTTTTGGACTCACTGTGATACAGTAAGAGCATTTCCCAAAGGCTACTCTCTCTGTACACACTTTCCCTTCTCCCTCCACACTGCAGTATACACACATATGCACGCACACATGCATGCACACAGTATGGTGAGCTAGCAGGGTCCCAGTGTTCAGGGAGAAGAGAAGCAGGCACTTGAAATGCCAGTGTTCAGAGTCAGCATTTAGTTCAAGATCTGCAGCACTAACTGGAGACCAAAGACAGTAAATATCATCTTTGGACCCAGAAGCATTGCACAGTGTTCATGTGACATGCTCTTAGAGTGTCAATACCAGCCAGTCCTTGCTCTTTGGGAAGCTAACAGGATGCTGGTTGGGGGGTCTCAGTGCCCACATATAGGACCACTGGGCACTCTGGTTGCATATGTGGCAGTGGTTGGCATTTGAGCTTCTCTGCTCACCAGCCAGAGGTGCTCCCGTCTCGTACTCCCAGGGAAGTTGTCATTCTAGGAGCCTACAAAACCATTGGGGATCAAGGAGACTGACCCATAGTAGATTTTTCTGACCGGGGCACAACCTTCCTGAGAACACTGGAGTTGTAAGGTTCTTGGGCACCAGAACCAACTGGGACACTTTCCTAGTTCTGTGAAAGCTCTGGATGGTACCTGGGTCTCACATGGTGCAGGCATCTGGTTTGTAGCAAATCAGTGATCTTTGATTTCAGCAGTGCCCTGGCCATACCCATGTCCAGGCCCATCCTGGAGAATATTTTCGCTGTCTCTTAGTCTTTCCCCAACAAGAGCCTGAAAGAAAGAGTGTGGGATCCGGAACGCTGCCTGGAGCTCAGTCGTCTCCTTCCTCCAGCATACAAACCCGACGTGTGGCTGGAGGTGCCAGAAAATTGGAGCATGCAGATTTTCTTCTGGATTGTTTCATTGTTCTGACAGTCAAAAGTGAAATGTGAATACTTGAAGACTCTGAGCCTTATTTCTTTTGGCCCTGAAAAAAATCTGTCACACAATTTGGTGTCCCTTTGGGGCAAGTCTATGGATTAAGACTGCAGGAGGCTGCCTTTTACAAAGATCCTGGTTTCAAAGTGCTTAACCTTTTTGAATTTAATTGCAATGAAACATCACTTAATGCAAAATGTGAATTCCTTGATTTTGCCCTGCTGTAGTGACTCTCTGTGGTCCCCTTGTATACTGTGCCAAATGGTGAATGGTGTGGCCAGTGATGAGATGCCTGCTTCATTAGCCGCTTTACAAAAGGTGCACTTAATAAACTTGTTTTTTTCATACACTGTTTCCTCTTCTTTCTCCCTCCCAAGAACAGGGACCATATCTGGTGCTTGCAGACTTAAATTCCCTTGTGGGGCTGCAGACCTCTCTGCCCGGTTGTTACAGAGGTGCGTCTGGGCCTTGCAGGGGAGGTGGGCATGGTGAGGGCGGCGGGGTGGTGGTCCTGGTCCCCTTGTTTTTGGGCACAGGTACTCGCATTAATCAGAATTCTGTCAGAAAACACTCTAGGTCCCAGAAACAAACCTCTCGTATGTTGTGGCCAAACCCACTGTGTGCCACAGTCTAATAATAGGATTCTGGATTGTCACCTTAAAGGGACCCTAACAAGTGTTTCCTCAAGTGGGATATGGAGGCCACCTGTGAAATCACAAACGGGTTTGTGTACATCCCTGGAACCACTTCTGGAGCACGTGCTGGAGCTGGGCCCCCAAACCTTCATTTTTGTCAAGGGCCCCTCATTACCTGGGTATAGAATATGAGCGTGCATGGAACTCCACCTCCTTCCTCTGGCCCGTTTGCATCAGCACCCCTCCCCCCACCCCGGGGTCCAGTTCTGTGTACTGCTTCTCAAGGGGATTCCTGCAAGGAACAGAGCTAGTGAGACATACATGCATCTAAGGGTGTGTCCTTTCTCCAGTGCCGTGAACTTCACAGGTAACTGAGCACCTGCCATGCTTTGCCCCCAGCGAAAGAGCGAGCTTGAAAAGTGGAATTGTAGTTAATTAAATCAGGTTTCAGCAAATGCCGAAATGATGAAACAATCTCTGCATAACCCAAGATTCCAAGGCTGAAACCGACGGCCTAATGATTTCAAGAGGTGTTGGAAGGGTGTCAGTAATATCGGCTCCAGTGTTTTTCAGCGGAGGAGCCTGGGCTTGCTGAGTCCATCTGAGAATGTGCAGACCGAAAGTAGAGCGCGGAGGGGTGTGCTGGGAGCAGAGCGAGGATGCTGGCTAGCTGTGCACCTTTTGGCAAGTCTACTGACCTCTCTGGGCTATAACTTTCTCATCTGGAAAAAACTAAGGGATTGATTATGAAGTGTTTAGGAGCAAAATATACTGTTATCTGCAGCTTATTTAAAAATGCATAGAGGAAGATGAGACTGGTGGGTAGATAGAGATGTGACAAAACAGGAGCGGTAGAATGTTCATTGTGGAGCCTAGATGGTGGGTGTATAGGTGTTCACCACAAACCCTTTCACCTTTTCCTCTGTGCTTGAAAATTTCATAAGATGTTAGAAAGAACAAAAATGGGTAAAATTTTAGAGATGAAATGGGCATTAGAGATCATTTTGTTGATGACAAAACTGAGGCCAAAACTGATGACAAAACTAGGAGGAGAGACAGGACTGGAACGAGGCTGCCTGTGCCCTGTCTCCCGATTCATGTGTGGTCCGTTCCACCATGCTGCCCCAGAACCCCTTGGGTTCATGGCCAGCCGCCAATGAGGTGATGCCTCTGAAAACTTGAAAAGTGCTGTGGAACCTTAATTTTATGAGACTTAAGTGGGTATTGCATAAAAAATTCAAATAGGATTAGGGGATACTGGCCTAACCAATTTCTTTTCTGCAGGACTTCTCAGAGCCTTTAATGTGTTAATGTCTATTGAAAATCTTTAAGAGAAGTATATAGCACTTACCAAATAAATTTAATCACGGAAAACATCCCCTCCTTTTTTAGAGGACTAAGTTCTGGATAACACAGTTGAAAAAACATTCCTAAAGGATATAAGATTGCTGGGTGGTTGTTTTTGGGTTTTTGGGGGGGAGTGGGAAGGGGAGGAGGTGAGACATGCCCTTTCTGTTGGTTCTTAATTTACATTGTGAGTCCACATGTGCACACATTAGACCTTATGCCCTCATCACATCTCTCAGGACTGAAGGTATCGATGTGGCAACTGACAATGCCAGGGATCAGTGTCTGGAGAGTGACAGAGAAGGTTCTGAGAGGTTTGAACCCACACCCTCACCTCAGTGGTGCCAGGGAGGGTCTCCCCCCCATCCCTTCCAGCCCAGGGGCCATTTTCTTCTGTTATCGACCTGGGCGGGGGCAACAGAAGTCAGTGGTAAATAATCTAAGAAACAGGAGGGGAGTTGGGGCGGAGCAGATAGATACCCAGCTACCAAGAAGAATCCCAATAGAAACCAAACTCTGTTCTGGTTGTTGAATCTGGCCAAGAGAAGGGCCAACCAACTTGTCCCACGTCTGTTTCTCGGGGCAGCAAAGTATATTTTTGGAGCTGATCAGGACATGCATACACCTTACGGACACGCACAGAGCACATCGCTCTCCAGATGCAGCCGAAACCCTTTATTGGAGTCACCCTCCCAACGCCGACAGTCACTGGTGGCTTTCCTGGCGGCCTGTGTGGACAGGTCAGCCTGGGTGGGAACTGAGTGCTGGTTTGTGCTGTTACAGTACACGTGAACGCAAAGACTTGCGGTAGCTGCCTCTTAGCAAATGATCTTCCCGTGCGCCGGTCATGGGGGCGTCATGGTGGGGTGGGGGCAGAGTGAAGGGCCGCTGTGCTTTCGTGGCGGGACTCTCTCTTCTTTCTGATTTCTCTAAACTCTGTGCTCCCGTCTTGGGGGGAAACAGTCCCTACGGAGAAAGAGCTCGCCAGCAGTCCCGGTGGAGCAGCACCGTGGGGCCAGCCTGGCCTGCCCCCCTGCCCCGCACGCCCCTCCCTGCCCCCGGCTTCACACTTCCTTCCGCAGCATCACCTTGATGCTGCTGCACATCTGGCCCAGGGCGGCGAAGAGTGGGTTGCAGAAGGTGCGAATGCAGAGCGAGTAGATGTGGCTGATGCACTGGATCTCGATCAGGTAGCTCTTGATGCACGGCACCACTGCCCAGATGTGGCAGAAGGAGATGCAGGCGAACAGGAAGCCCCAGAGCAGGGCCAGCGGGACGCCCAGCAGCGTGGACAGCAGGCGATAGCACCAGTACTTGGAGACAGTGAAGGTGGTGTAGCTCACCTTCCACACGCCGTCGAAGCTGTAGGTGCCCACGGGCTCCGCGATCACGTCCTCGAAATCCACCTGCGGGGGCAGGAAGGGGATCCTCAGTCACAGCACCCACCCGCTTCCCAAGCTGGCTGTGTGAGCATCAGAACTCGCTGCAGGGCTCCTGACCCTGCGGGTCCCGGAGGAGACTTGACCCCTCAGCTTACGGGTGGCTGAGCAGGCCTGAGGAGCTGAGGGACTTGCTGAAGTCAAAGGAAAGCCGGAGGCAGGCCTGGAGGCATGGATCTCAAATTCTGTTATTTTATGATCCTAGGGAGTTGGGCAGTCAGTCATGCCCAAGATTTACGGGGTACCTGCTGATAAGATGGTGGAGAGGCAAAGGTTCCTGCTGGCCCAGAGCTTATGGCAGGCAGTTGTCCCATAGTGATAAGTGCTTGGGTGAGGGAAGGACAGGGGGCTGCGTGCACCCATAGGAGGACATGAGCTCGGCCTGGGGAAAGGGAAGTCTTCCTGGAGGAAGAGGCATCTAGCTAAGCTGATACCCTGAAGGTAGCCACGTAGAGGGAGGAATTGTGGCTGAAAAAAGAGTGTTTGGGACAGAAGGAGCAGTAATTGCTGGGAGCGAGGAGCTAGTGGGACAATGCGTGCTCTCAGAGAGATGCAGGTGCTTCCAGAAGGCTGAGTTCAAGCCTAGAAGACTGGAGCGAGGCTGGAGAGGTAGGCAGGGCAGGTATCCGTGGATGAGCAGCCTCCGAGGGCTTTTGTGAAGGGAGCAACCTCTGGCCGCTGAGGTTGGGGTGGTGGTGAGGATGTATGTGGAGAACAGCTGGGAGCTGCTGCGATAATCCAGGCAGGACCTGGTGGCAGCCTGGTTTGGGGTGATGGCGAGGAGTTGGAGAGAGGTGCACAGGTCTGAGAGCTATTTTAGGATCTGGCAAAGTGAGGGCCACGCCGTTCTGGCTAGTAAGGGAGTCTGGTATCTGAGTGTGGCTGAGCTGGCCTGAAGCACCATGTGGAGAAAGCGAAATTGTTTCCTTGACCTAGGCCTGCAGGGACCTCAGGTTTCCTCCCCCCACTGCTCGCAGCGTCCCTCATTGCAGCTGGAAGGAACATGGGTGCTCAGAGAACCTGATTCACACATCCTACTGACATGGTGACTAAGGTCCCACTGGGGAAGTGGGAAAGAAATCAGAAGACTTAAAAAAAAAGACGACTTCAGCTAAGTCACTTAACTAGACTTTCTTGAGTCCTTGCGATGCATTAAGCACTGTTCTAGCTGCTTTTTGTGTGATGTTATTTAGCATTACTAAGCCTTAGCTGCCTTGTCTGTAAAATGGGGGTATGACCATCTTCAGTGTTCTCGGCCATTTTAATAAAGGTTGGTTGAAGCGTGTCCCTGGCCGGGTGGTTCAGTTGGTTGGAGCGTCGTCTCGTATATCAAAAGGCCGCGGGTGCACATACCTAAGTTTCAGGGTCAATCCCGGGTCAGGGTGCATATGGGAGGCAACTGGTCGATGTTTCTCTCTCACATCAGTGTTTCTTTCTCTCTCTCTCTCTCCCCCGCCCTCTTCTTCTATCTCTAAAATCAATAAGCATATCCTCAGGTAACGATAAAAAAAGTGGTTGAATGAATGCAGACTAATCAGGCTAATGGGAGGGGGACCCCCATGGGGGCTGGTGAGGCCTGAGCTCAAACTTTAGTCTTCAGGGTGGGCCCCCTCCCCACTTTTGTTGGGAGGAGGGAATCCTCTCCTCTATGTACAATGGTATTATTACAATTAGTTTTCATTATAAAATAACATAGCCACATTGCAGAAAATTAAGGGAACAGGAAAAAGGAAATGAGCACTTCCAATTTGTACTTATCTGGTACTAAAAATATTGTTGCTTTTGTGCCATGCTTTCCAGTGTAATTTTTGGGGAGGAGGGAGTGGACATGACCGTGTTGTACATTCAAGGTTGAGTCCTGTTTTTCTCACATGACTAGATTCTGGGCTCCTGCACTGTGCCTTAGATCCCTGGATCCCCCTGGGGACAGCTCTGGCTGAGGGCCCACATAGGCAGGCATGTTAACAGGGGGCAAAGTTTAGAGGGTGAGATTTCAGGCTGTAGGCGATGTGGAAAAGCTGACTCAGGGAGTCAGTAGGGCCTGCGAGGACCTTCCTGTAAACCTCAGCTTCGTCTCTCTCTGCCTCAAAAGGCCCCCTGGATGGAAGGGGAAGAATATGAACAGGGTCCTCATCTCATGGGAAGGATGGCACTTCTTCCTGGAGGGTTTCCAGTCGAGGATGGCAGGGTTTGGAGGCAGAGATGGAAAAGTGGTTTGCTGGATATTTGGAAAAGAAAGCCCAAGTTGGTTGGTGAATGTCTCATGGCTTTGAGGAGTGGATGGAAAGTGCTGGCATCTACATCTGGTTTGAATGGGCAAAAATTCAGTTGCTGCTTCTTAGGGGAGCTTTCAAATCCAAGAAGCTGGGGAGTATATGCTCCAGGGACGATTCCAGCCTTGTCCTGGGTATACCTACCGTGGCTATTGAGGTTCAGTCAAACTCCTGGGGCCTGGAACCTGCTGATTGAGGTGTTCTGTACTCACTGCCAGCCCCTCCTCCACTGTGGCCAATGGCCCAGCCTATGCCCCATGCCTCTTAGCACGAGGCTGGCCTCTGAAGCATGCTGCAGCTCCAGGGACTTTGCCAGCAGAGGGAGGCATTTGGGCAGAGACGTCCCTCCCTGCCTGAGTCCCAGCCAGCACTCCCTCCTTCCTTCCCTCTCGCACTGAGCACCTGTGGCCTCGCCTGCCTTTCCTCTGGCTGTTCCTTAGGAGGGTGCTGTTCCTTAGGAGGGTGCCTCCCCACTCACAGGCTACCCAGATGCCTCCTCGCCTCAGGTGGGCAGACAGGCCCAGAGGAGGGAGGCAGGGCCCAGACTGAACCCAGGCGTCCTGATTCTAATCTAAGTGCGTCACACTGCCCCAGCCAGGGGCAGACCTAGAGATGCTGGCTGTCAGGAGGGTGACTGCCCCCTCTGAAGTCTGGTCCTTGTCGGCCAGAGACCTGCCCCAAGGCAGCCCCACCTGCCCGTCTTCCCAGCTACCTACCCTGCCCCCGGCAATGAGCAGTGTCCCCAGTCCCTCTGCGGCCCATGCTTTGCTCACCCATCCCAGCACATTGCTCCGCTCAGCACATTTGATTATTGGTGTCTGGCCTCCAAGAGTGGACTAAAGAGCCCCGACTGACACCCCACTGCTAAGGTTTGAGTCCAGCTCTGCTCCCTGTGGCTCCGTGACCTTCAGCAAGTGACTTAGCTTTTCTGTGCCTTATTTTCCTAGACTTCAAAAGTTTGTTGGAGAGTTCAATAAGTTCAAACGTGTCACTACTGAACACTGCCTGGCACAGAACCCGCCTGAACCATTAGCTGTCGGTGGTGGTTGTCGCTTTCTTCAACAGGGAGCGAGAGTACCAACCCTGGGTGTGCAGTTGCTGATCCAATGAATGCCTCTGGCAAATAACCTCTTTGAACTTCACTTTCTCATCCATAAAATGGGTTTACTACTTCTTATAACCTTGCCATGAGGAACAGAAATAATTTTTCATCCATCCCAACAAGTATTTATTCAGCACCCACTCTGTACTGGGCACGCTACCTCTTGGGCGGCGCTTAGCACAATACCTGGCATGTGATAGGTGCTTGGTGATGGTAATTATTTGGTCAATTGCTCTGAAGTTCTTATGAAAATATATTTCAGAAAATCTGTTGATACCCCAGATTATAAGTACAATTCTTCAGCCTATCTGGCCATAACTGTGTATAAGTGTGCATGTGTACCTCAGCCTGTGCTGATAAAACGGATGGGTCCTCTTTTCCCTCAGTTTTTGCTTATGGTAGTAATACTACCCCCAAGGATTTCTCTGTTGTCTTTTTTTAAAAAATATGTTTTTATTGATCTCAGAGAGAGGGAGGGAGAGATAGAAACATCAGTGATGAGATTCATTGATCGGCTGCCTCCCTCATGCCCCCTACTAGGCATTGAGCCCCAAATCCAGGTACGTGCCCTGACCAGGAATTGAGCCATGACCTCCTGGTTCATAGGTTGACGGTCAACCACTGAGCCATGCTGGCCAGGCTCTCTGTCGTGTCTTTTAATAATATTTCATTTTAGTGCAGAAGCCGTTGGTGCTGACATTTGAATTATTTCCAATAATTGCCTTTGGGACTATGCATGCGGCAATGATCTGTTTTCTGTGAATCAGAAAATGTGCTCTCAGAGGGATGGGCTGTGCTGGGAGGAGTCAGCTGTTCCCTTAACTGGGATTAAGAGTGGAGAGGGCTTTGGTCATAGCGTGCTCATTTGGGGAGGTATTTATAAGACCCAGCTCAGGAGCTCTAGGCAGTCGTGCCAGTGTATCAGAAGCACATGGTGACTTCATTTCTTATTTCGCTTCAGAAGCAAGAGGGGAGATGGCTTTTGGGGGGAGAGTAGTGGGGTAGGGACTGGATCAGTATGCAGCTGGAGGGAGTGGCTGGAGGTGGGAGGGGGAGAATGTGGCTGCTCAATCAGTTGGTGCCCTCTTCCCCGGCATATTTATTTTTGGAACAGCTAGAGAGTCAGTTGATTAATCAGAACCAGCCAGCGCAGCCCCCGCAGTCTCTGAGAGGGCAGGGAAGGTGCAGGACGACAGGGCTGGGTGTTGCCGGAGGATGCGGGGGAGGCCAGCAGCCACCTCCTGTCAAAAATACCTCCCCCAGATTCCCACATGACTCAGTCCTTGGGCATCCGGGGCCCTGGACAATTCAGAGAGGGCATTTGTGGTGGGGAAAACAACTCGAGGCAGGAGGGCAGACATTGGGTTCCCCCTTCTTGACCACTGAGTTACTACTGTGTGGTCTTGGGCATGGAGCTTTCTCTCTCTGGGCTTCTGGGATTTTTTGTTTTTGTTTTTGTTTTTAACTCTACAGGTAGAGGATTGGGCCAAGATCCCTTGTGACAAGGAGTTAGTTTTGGAGTCAGAAGACCCAAAGGGGTGGCTTAGATTTGCTGGGTCTTAGTTTTCTCACTCATTACCTTGCTCCTTAAA